GGTCGAACACGATCTCGTAAGGGCCGGTAAAAGGAAGACTGTTTCAGGGCGTGGCTGCAGATAAAGCAACTTGAGATAGTACGAATGAATAGTACGATTGCACATTATTACTAACAGTCTTAACTCAGCCCAAAGTACTTAACGAGTAATGGAAGTACAATGAGCGAGACCAATAGATAGTTCTTTAGTCCTTCAGAACGCAAGGATCGCGGTTCGTTATTATGCCCCACTTAATCGTAAGACGCTTTATGCATTGGACCTACCACACGGTTCAAACATTTGTCTTATCTGAGTACTTTCTGAGGTGTTCTTTATTCACCCAAGTTGAATTAAGGGGAAGTAAATTTTCAGGACTCCCAGTAAACTGGAAACCGAATTAAGTATTTGAGTACAAGCGACATCCTATACTGTTTTACCGCAATAAAGAGAAACAAACTTCAACATAAATCGCATTTGACATAGATAATGAATTATTTGACAGCAGAATTAATTTTTGATGCAAACACCTGCTTACATGTAGCTTATTAGTATTCCGTAAACGTTTTATGTCTCAATTTACAATGAGAAAAACGCTCGCTTCCGATCTGTAGGGGCTTGCAGCAGCATTTAATGGCCAGCCGAAACGCCCATACAGATCTGCTCATATTTTGCTTCTGACCGCCTTCCTGAATTTGCTTGGAAAAGGCATTTTCTGTAGATAATTCAGACCAAAGTAAAGGCAAAGGTGTATCCGAGTCATGAGGCCCCTTACTCCTCCGCTCCAATATACGAGGAAAATATTTATTCAGTGTGTTGGATTGACGCACGGTTTTAAACGAGAGAGCCAGTTTCACAGCAAATGCAATAATTTAACGAGAAAAAGTGCGTCGAGATACTCATCATAGATCATTTACTAAACGCCAAATAAATCCTTTAATTCAAGCGGTTGTAATATGATTTTCAATACTGGATGTAGTTACTTTCGTTCTGTTAAAGTGCTGTTTTCAATTAACAGCCAGAGCACATAGAAACGGGAACAAACTTTCGAGGTCTATAAGGAACCACAAAAGGTGCTATAATGACATAACTTTCCTAGCGGGGAATATAAGTTACTCTAGCGATAAAACTTTGAACATTTGAACAGGCCAATTATCTGTAAATAAAACTTTTGGGAAGTCAAGAAAAATTATTTACAGCACAGCAAAGGACACTGCAAATTATAATTAAAATGGCTTCGGGGATTTTGAGAACATCTTGGCGTTTTTTTTAAATTTTAAACTAGCTCACCAAGTACTCGTCCCATCAATATCTGGTTAGGATCGCTGTTTCATTTCTCAGTAATAACGAGCAGATCTTCTTTTTGTTGTTCGAAATAATGATCTTTCAATTATGTAAGCCCTCCGGAACTTCACAACGTTGATTTTTTTCCTTTGTAACCGTGTGTCGGATGATACTTCGAGCTTTGTTACTTAAATATATTTTCTTTAATAAACACTGTTAACCGATAAAGGAATCTGTGTTCGAAGCCTAAATTTTTAGTCGCAAATGACCAAAGCTCCCAGAATGCATGCAGTAAATATCCTTCTCAAAGACACTGGATTTGACAATTTTTTAGGAAAACAATGTTGCCGCCTTTGCCGGGAGGTTGTGCACTCGCTGCAATCGCTTCGCCCCTTGCTAACCTCATAAAGTGTTAAATTACTTCTTTTACCACAGAACCACACCTGTAGTTTATTAAATATTTCAGCATTACATGTTCAATATGGAATCCAGGCATTTGCTGAATTTAAGCGTCCAAATTGCATTAGATTGCCTGTCAGATAACTTCAATCTCAAAACTTTCCCTGGAGTAGCATGCGCCTGAAACTCCCTAGAAAAGTGCGCCGTTCGAAGTCCTGATGGGTGCTATCGCGGCCATATTACCTCTGTATACTATATCTCTAGGCCCCCTCTATCACAAAATCCTCCGTCCGCCCCTAGGAAGATATATGCTATGGTTCAATTCTTACCTGCAATTTCGATTTTCTTGTCTTTTTATTAAAGATAAAATATAAGCCAAGGATAGATTTTACCACAGCAGTATAATGCGTATGTTCTAGGTTCCCGTTTTGGAGGGAATCTCATTGTACCTTATCCCAGAGGGGAATCGCTAACGTCCGTAACGCGGTCACGAAGAGCGTCCTCTTAACAATGTCGACGATCTATTTTTACTTGTGACAAATATTACCGCTTTGATAGGTTTTTGGTGTTTATTGGTTGAATTTTTGGCCAAAACCATTTGGTTTACTTCCAAAGGCGAACACCATTTATTACATTACCAAATTAAATATACAAACGTTAACATAATTACTATAATTACTTGCAAGCAATTAATTATAACTTGCCTCCAATGAGATCGTTCAATTTAAATGCTAACCTAAGGAAAAGATCAACAAGACTTGAGTTAAGTTTCTTCTTGCCATTTTTTACAGGAACTGAAAATACATCTCTTGACTCGTATGGATTTGGAATAAGTGAAACACTTCAAGAAAGCCTAACTGCATTGTACGCTCTATTAAGGGGAAGTAAATTTTCAGGACTCCCAGTAAACTGGAAACCGAATTAAGTATTTGAGTACAAGCGACATCCTATACTGTTTTACCGCAATAAAGAGAAACAAACTTCAACATAAATTGCATTTGACATAGATAATGAATTATTTGACAGCAGAATTAATTTTTGATGCGAACACCTGCTTACATGTAGCTTATTAGTATTCCGTTAACGTTTTATGTCTCAATTTACAATGAGAAAAACGCTCGCTTCCGATCTGTAGGGGCTTGCAGCGGCATTTAATGGCCAGCCGAAACGCCCATACAGATCTGCTCATATTTTGCTTCTGACCGTCTTCCTGAATTTGCTTGGAAAAGGCATTTTCTGTAGATAATTCAGACCAAAGTAAAGGCAAAGGTGTATCCGAGTCATGAGGCCCCTTACTCCTCCGCTCCAATATACGAGGAAAATATTTATTCAATGTGTTGGATTGAGGAACGGTTTTAAACGAGAGAGCCAGTTTCACAGCAAATTCAATAATTTAACGAGAAAAAGTGCGTCGAGATACTCATCATAGATCATTTACTAAACGCCAAATAAATCCTTTAATTCAAGCGGTTGTAATGTGATTTTCAATACTGGATGTAATTACTTCCGTTCTGTTAAAGTGCTGTTTTCAATTAACAGCCAGAGCACATAGAAACGGGGACAAACCTTCGAGGTCTATAAGGAACCACAAAAGGTGCTATAATGACATAACTTTCCTAGCGGGAAATATAAGTTACTCTAGCGATAAAACTTTGAACATTTGAACAGGCCAATTATCCGTAAATAAAAAGGAAAATATCTATTTTTGTATTTTTGCATTTTTGGAAAGAGTTGAATTATACGTGTTTGAGAGTGTCGTGTAATATAATAGAAGAGTAGCGGCTACCGTACCGTGCGCTCTCTACGACCAGGAAAGATAAAATAGACTAGACAGAGTTACTGTCGATAGTGCTCTGTCATTGGCATGAACTCGAAAAACAAGGGTACATACCTGACTTGTCTCTGTTTTGATCGCTAGCGCAACTTCGATGCTTATTAAGCTTTGCTTAACTTCAGCCTTATTAAAAATTTAGAACAAGGCGTGCGCCGTTTGGTGATGTAAACAGAGAATCACGTATATAAAAAACTACAGTCAAAGTCACACTTTTAGCAATCGATAATAATGAGTAAATTTGCGATTGGGAAGTCATGAAAAATCATTTACAGCACAGCAAAGGACACTGCAAATTATAATTAAAATGGCTTCGGGAATTTTGAGAACATCTTGGCGTTTTTATTAAATTATAAACTAGCTCACCAAGCACTCGTCCCATCAATATCTGGTTAGGATCGATGTTTCATTTCTCAGTAATAACGAGCAGATCTTCTTTTTGTTGTTCGAAATAATGATCTTTCAAGTATGTAAGCCCTCCGGAACTTCACAACGTTGATTTTTTTCCTTTGTAAACGTGTGTCGGATGATACTTCGAGCTTTGTTACTTAAATATATTTTCTTTAATAAACACTGTTAATCCGATAAAGGAATCTGTGTTCGAAGCCTAAATTTTTAGTCGCAAATGACCAAAGCTCCCAGAATGCATGCAGTAAATATCCTTCTCAAAGAAACTGGATTTGACAACGTTTTAGGAAAACAATGTTGCCGTCTTTGCCGGGAGGTTCTGCACTCGCTGCAATCGCTTCGCCCCTTGCTAACCTCATAAAGTGTTAATTACTTCTTTTACCACAGAACCACACATGTTCAATATGGAATCCAGGTATTTGCTGAATTTAAGCGTCCAAAATGCATTAGATCGCCTGTCAGAGAACTTCAATCTCAAAACTTTCCAAGGAGTAGCATACGCCTGAAACTCCCTAGAAAAGTGCGCCGTTCGAGGTCCTGATGGGTGCTATCGCGCCCATATTGCCTCTGTATACTATATCTCTAGGCCCCCTCTATCACAAAATCCTCCGTCCGCCCCTAGGAAGGTATATGCTATGGTTCAATTCTTACCTCCAATTTCGATTTTCTTGTCCTTTTATTAAAAATAACATATAAGCCAAGGATAGATTTTACCACAGCAGTATAATGCGTATGTTCTAGGTTCCCGTTTTGGAAGGAATCTCATTGTACCTTATCCCAGAGGGGAATCGCTAACGTCCATAACACGGTTACGAAGAGCGTCCTCTTAACAATGTCGACGATCTATTTTTACTTGTGACAAATATTACGGCTTTGATAGGTTTTTGGTGTTTATTGGTTGAATTTTTGGCCAAAACCATTGGTTTACTTCCAAAGGCGAACGCCATTTACTACATTACCAAATTAACTATACAAACGTTAACATAATTACTATAATTACTTGCAAGCAATTAATTATAACTTGCCTCTGATGAGATCGTTCAGTTTAAATGCTAACCTAAGAAAAAGATCAACAAGACTTGAGTTAAGTTTCTTCTTGCCATTTTTTACAGGAACTGAAAATACATCTCTTGACTCGTATGGATTTGGAATAAGTGAAACACTTCAAGAAAGCCTAACTGCATTGTACGCTCTAACATTCATTACTGCTTTGCTTGGTAACATACTCCTCATATACATCATAAGGCAGCGACGTCCTCTAACTCCAATGTCCATACTGATTGTCAATATGGCAGCATCAGATCTTCTTACAGCCTTATTCACAATGCCATACTCTGTTGCGTTTCTATATGTGCAGACCCACTGGTTTGGTGGCATCGCCGGCAAAATTACTTGCAAGCTACTGCACTTTGTCATTGGCTCAACAATCGCTTCTTCTATATTTGCTTTATTAGCAATTTCTGGTGAACGATATATCGCAGTTGTAAAGCCCCTCTGGTACCCGGCATTTACAAGGAGGCCCATCTTGCTATCAGTTTCAATATGGCTTTCGTCTGTCTTATTCATGTGCGCATTTCTCTTCGTTTACGTGCAGACCGACATCAATGGACCTCATTGCTATGCAGAATGGGAAGCCGTTTTTAACAATGCGAATCTGAGTCCGAGAATATTCTATTCCACAGTTGCTGTTACGCTTTATATTTTACCTCTTACCGCCATTGCTATCTCGTCGGCGATCATTATGAGGAAGTTGAAAGACCAGAAAATACCTTTTTGTGCATTTCACCATACAACAAGAGAGGCGAAGTTTAAAAAACGAAATCGCTACATTATGCGGTTGCTTTTGGCCATCGTTATACTTTTTGCAGTTTGTTGGCTTCCTGTTCATTTGTTACACTTTTTAATATTTTTCTATGAAGACATTTACTTGGCATTGCCACAGTCTGTTCCATTGCTCTTATTTTGGGTCTCACACGCCAACAGTGCACTCAATCCCTGCGTGGTAATCCTTCTAAATGGTTCGTTTCGCAAGACGTTAATGGATTTGATTAGAAGTCTAAGCTGTCGCCTACGCTTCAAGTCAAACCGCGTGAATTGCGTAAGTTATGAGTTTTTCCAGCCATTTGATACAAGACTAAGACAAAGATGTACTGTTGATGCATCAGTACAGTGGAATAAACATCCTCGTTCTTCTCCAGTCATTCTCTTCGATATCAAAACAATCCCACAAGAGAGTTAGATTTGCCTAAGAAAGGGAAATTATCCTTGGTTTTGGTCACTCCTACAACATTAGAAAAACAAAAATAAGGAGAAAACTTAAATTTGAAAATTAGCAAAATGTTACAATCATCCACCGAAAGTACGCGACTTTTGGTTTTCGAAATAAGGCCGAAAAAGGTTAGTCATTGTGACGATTCATACTTGTTTTAGGGCAAATTACACTCTGAACGATCAGGCTTTATCTTTTAACTGGTACGAATGCTTAGGAATAGGTAGAATATTTGACTTAAACCATTACAATAGGCGAGCTTAGGCAAACGACACAAGAGTGTTTGCGCTAGTGAAATCACTGACGCACTTGACTGCGTCTAAAGGAAGAGTCATTCTAATATATTTTTTTGAGAACTCTCAGCAAATTGGAGTCTACGTTGCCAGGCGAGGTAACTTGATTACGTACTTGATGGCTTAGTTATAGGATCTCTTGGTGAATAAGGTCGATGGAGGAGACATCACAGTTGCATTCTGAAGATGTATAAGTGAAAGTCCAAACGCTTGATATGATTTTGATCATGATTCGGAAACCACACATCTTGCTTTGTTCCAGATATCTCATTATAGGTCTAGCTGTTGATAATATTTACGCCAAATGGAATTTGTTTCCCATCTTCTTATTACTTACTGACGCTAATGGATCGCTATTCTAATGTTAGATCAATTTTTAGCTCTTTGCTTTTTAACAATTCTTGATTTTGTTTATGCCAAATAGAAGTTGTATTCCATCAAAATGCTTCCCAGAATTGAACTTATCAAGACAAAGAAGTGTAAAGGCTAGTCCACTGTGTCGCCTGCCGCCGTTACCCGGCCGTCTACTTAGGCGAGACTGGGCGTACAATGAGACATCATATACATTTTTTTTTAATATATAATCAATGGTGTGTACAAACCTTGCACTCGTTATAACTTACTTGGTGAGTGTACTTCTACGGATAAAGGGCCAAGGGGCCCGTTTGAGAGTCCCAATAATTAACGGGTCCCGAATTCAATAGTTGTGTAGATAATAATTTATGATAAAGCTATCAGTTAACAAGACAAAATGACCGGAACTTTTTTTATAACATTCTGATTTGAATATTTGATTTCGTGCCCGAAAGTTTACGATGATTTTCGAGGAACGTGCCCCAGGCGCGAGACGTTTGAGAAATAAACTAACAATCTATAAGTCATAGCTTTCAAGTTTTGTTAATGTTTTACTTTAACTCATTGATAGGCTGATTTAGTAACAGAGCGGGAACGTCACTTGCCGAAGAGAAAGCGCACGGAAAGGACTGAACGCGACTTGCGGTGCTCAATTTGCCGCTCTGCCATTGGTCAAACCGATTTTTTAAATTTACGCGAGCCGTCGTTAACGTGGTAGCGTTGTTTTTGCTAACTCTGACCAACAGTAATATGGGTGAATCAATATTATATCTTCAAATTATATTAATAGGTACAAAGTATATTATATGAACTAGATAAAAGCATAAGGGCAACTTTATTTATCTAATATTTATACTCCCTTCTTAACATGGTAATACATTGTTTAGGACTTAATATGCTTCAAAAGAAAAAAAGCAGCTAGTGTAACTCGAATCAATACATGGTATATTGCTTTATTGTTATTATTTTTTCATTTAATTTGGCCTTTCTAGCAAATATCGGGTGCTGTATATATCCCCTTTCCAGCTAGATATTCACTAAATAAGATTGTATTTCATTGAACATTAAAATGTTTCTTATTGGATCAAAAAGTACAAGCAACAAAAAGCCTTTGATTTTATCATTATCATTATCCCTGAAATACACTCAGTGCAAGGCCCTTCATGTTCTTTTTGTTTTCCATAAAGCATGATAAAGATCCTGCCTTCCGTGATATTGTTTTTTTTTTTTTTTTCTTTTAAAATAATTTTTTTCCAGATTAAATTTTGGTTATATTAAGCCCTACCCTAACCATACTTTTTAAACAAA